ATGGCTCCTGCATTCTCAACAAATAGGCAAAGGCATATGGTTATCCCTAGCGCGATGGCTGCTGGCATCCTCGTCTCTTTCCAAACCGTCGTAGACACTGTCTCTTCATTTTCTCCCATTCTGTTTTTGGCACCATCCAGATAGCAGGTACCGGGTTATCTTTGCTGCACTCAGGCTTAACTACCAGGATAGTTCTTGCCCTTACGTACACTAATCTTACCCAATCTGCTGTAGCCGAGTGATATTTTTCACTGTCTATGTTTTCATGTCCAGCAACAATTAGCACACGAACAGTGTCGAGTTCCCTTTCCATGCACTGATCACACCAGCATTGCGCACGTGCTACTCTACACCACCACTGTTTTCCACAGACATAACACTTACATAAAAACCATGGGTTACACGCCTTACAATAGTTACACTTAATTGTTCCAGCATGTGCTTCCACACCAGCGTCCATTAATCCTTCTTTTCCAAAGCCTGGATATCTGCGTCGTCGTTATCTCTATCAGGACCTTTCCACAGACGGACTCATCGAGCAGGAATCCATCTTACTCCGTTATCTGTAAGCAAGCACGTATAACCTCTACCAGTTAATTTCACTTCAGCTGGTCCTTCCCATTTTCCTGTTTGCAAATTCTTAAACTGAACCAACACCTTTTCCTGTTTCTGTTCTCCTTCCATCAACGCCCTGTGATGTATTAATGCTGGAGGTTCCTTTCTGTCCCCTGTCAAACGTAAAAAATTCAAGACGTACAATAGTTTGTTCAGTCGTTCCTGTGGCATACTCCCAGTTTCCCCCCTTTTTTTTTATGCAATAATTGTTTCAATGTGTGGTGTGCTCTTTCTATCATGGCTTGTCCTGTGGGACATATGTGGGATACGTGTGGTATGGTGGATGCCCCAGAGTACACAAAACTGAGCAGATTTTGTTGAGGTGTATGCCGGACCACTGTCTGCTTTTATCTCTGTGGGAATCCCTAGCACCGCAAAACTAGCATACAGATGCTTTGTTACATGCTGTGTGGTCTCTCCTGACTGTGCAGTTGCCCAAAAGGCAATGGAAAATGTGTCAATCACTACAAGTACGTACTTTTAACACCCAAACTCTGGTACATGCATGACATCCATTTGCCATAGCTGTAAGGATCGTAGTCCTTTGGGGTTGACACCCACTCCGAGACCTGGACTTATATTTTGGCAGTCTGGACAAGACTTCACAATTCCTTGAGCATCATGCAAGGGAAAGTGAAACTGTCCCATTAATACCTTCGCGGACTGATGGAAAAATTCATGGGAGTTGCGCACCTGAGCAAAGCTATCTGTGGGTGGACCCGTCCATGTCGGCATAACAAGCTGATCTGCACGTCGGTTTCCTTCTGCAAGGCCTCCTGTCATCAAATGGCTACGAATATGGGTTATAAAATACGGCACTGTTCTATTATTTAGCATAAATAACAACTGCTGTAACATTCTATACAAATGTCTATTGGATACTTCTTTGAGCATAGCACGCTCTAAACGCGTCCCTACTCCTACTACATACAAAGAATCAGAAACAATATTGACTGGCTGCATATTCCACTGTGCAAGAGCCCAAACAACCGCTTTGAGCTCTAACGTTTGTAACGAATCCTGCAAGTCTCCTTCGATTACCTGATGGTGCCGTATACCTGGAGGTCTCTCCCAGGTACACGCCGCCTTCTTGGAGCTTTTCCCTGCATCAGTAAATACTGTTATCCCTTCCAATGGGGTATTGGACTGTATTGGCCATTCCTCGAAAATCATCCCTGACAACAATGGCATTAATTTGTGAGAAGGGTAATTAT